GAGATAACGAAGGACAGTAAGTCATAAGAAATAAAAATAATTATAATAGATAATATATGACGATTGTAAAAGTACTTCACGATTTGTACGAAATTGTTCTTTGTACGTTTCGTCGACCCTCCCAATCCATGAATCCTATCTGTGCAAGGTTCATTTCACGTGGAAAATCAGCATTTTACCAATTGTGAGTATCGTGTGGTATTTCCTTTTTATATAAAAATTTGTGGTTCGTTCGAACTATAAAAGGTAGGTGTAATTGAGATAAAAAGCCTGGGCTTTTTTAACTTACGCATTGCTTAAATATTTCCGACGGAGAGATACATCGACGGTGTGTGCGGTAGCGGCGTCGTCGTCGCCAGGAAATGATGGTCATTATCTAATATAGTTTTGTTATTACATTCGAGAGTCACCGCTGAAGATAAGTGTCGAATCAAACGATGTGTTCGTGTACGGTTTTTTTTATCGGTTGATACATTAACAATTATACGCACTAATTTATACATGCTATTATACTATCGTTCTGTAATCGATTCGATTATTTTTCGAGCACGTAACTCTACCTTCGGCGTTACCTTAAGCTTATACTTAAGGCCTTAAATAAAAACAATGACGAAGCATTGAAATTTTAACAGTTATTACTACATCTTGAATTCTTACGTTAAATGAGAAAATTTCGATTTCATCTCAATGAAAGAACATAGATACGACAATGAGGCTTTATTCTCATTCTTAAACTTCGATTCCTTAACGATTTGAGAAATTTATACGAGGCGTACAACGTCAGTATCAATTATTTTGGAATCAATTGGAGCGCACTCCAAAATGCACCAGCTCTAATAGAAGCTTCTAGTTCAACACGGCTACGTTCTCAAGAACTATATTTTCTTACCGTTTCCTACTTATTTCACTGGTCACGTTTCTTCCAACAATTTTGAAAGATTCACAGAACCGTGGTGGTGGTGGTGGTCGTCGTCGTCAGTTCGATTTGAAATTAATTTTCGATATAGGATATATTATTATGAAGTTGCATGCGCAGTGCCTGGCGCACGCGCACATCACGCGTTGGAAATCGGTGATGCGCGCACACACACTCACTATTATTACTCGGCTTCCGACCGACGACGACGACAACGACGAACACCGAGAACCGAAACGCACACAAACGCGAACCTCAGCTTATATACTTTGTACATGCTGATTAAAGAAAGTCAGTCTGAGCAAGATGGCTGGCCGGGCGACTTCGGCCTTCTATTGCGCCGCGTTCGTTTTTCATTTACTACTGTTAACGGGCTCGAATAATGGGCAGAGATTCGGTGAGAAAGCGAAAACTCTTTATGTCACCGAGGAACGTGAACATCACGGCTACGGACGGCCGCTTGTCATCAACCGGGACTGGGATTATTCAGCGGATGCCAGCGAAACGTCATCTAGTCGAACACGCAGGAATATTCCCTCGCCGACTCCGACGAATAATAATCCACACATCACGGCGAAGGTACGCAATCACGTTTTCACCGGCTCGCCGACGAATGTCTGATGATAGAATAAGGGGTGCCGTTGGTGGGTCCCTGTTGTGCGTTCGCCTCGTAATTCTGCGTTGTTTTTGTTCTCTTATCTCGCTGCGTATGTATACGTATACTATATTTGTTCTCGTTGCGCGCTGATGGGGCATCGGATCTCAAAATTTTACGCGGCAGTTAATAAGCCGGTGCGGACGTACAACAGGGCAGGCCTTTGTGCGGCAAACAGCGGACAGAACCGTAATTGCCGTATTATGCTCCTTCCGGACTAAATTTAATCAATCTTCACGAAACGATGACGGGCATCATAGGCTGCTGCGTTCTGTTATTGACATGAGAGGTCAGCAACCTCTCTCCGCGCATCCCTTTTATTTCTCCCTTTAGTCAATTAATTTCCGGACAAAAAGCCAATACGGATTTCAATAAAGGATTACGCGATTCAATCGAAATTATTGTTATTCCCCCCTTCCGCGGACTTCTCAACAAAAAGCCCCCACCCCAGACGTCGTACTCGTCGTCGTATCTCGCGGATAATGATGATACGTTCCGAAATTTTTGACATGTTTTTCACGCAGCGATTCAGACCGATTTATCGTCCTACCCGTAATTCGTTTAAAAAATAAATCAATTTCAACGATATGGCAGTAGCCCGTAGCAATTAGTCATAAGTATGTGTCACGCCACTACCGATGAAATGCAACGGCGGGACACATTGGAATATCTCTACCATTGATAGCAAAGAAGTATCGTGTGTCAGCTAGCCAACTCGATAAAATAAATTACTTGAAACTCATCCACTACCTACTATCTGCTTATAAGTTATACTCTGTCCGTGTAAGTAAGGATTTAACTGTGTTGTCACACAGGTATTGTACTATCAGTGATGATACACAGTGTATCTCTTGCGAGAGCAATCGGAATTTTGATAAATAATTTTTATTATGCGCATGATGTCCAAATGTATCGTTATCAGGCCCTGCTAATTGCCAGTTATTAATAGACTGGTCGTTACATCACGTGAACGTGCAACTGCACGACAACTACATATGCATACATGCGTAATTATTTTTCCTTCGAATCCGGTAAAAGAGTCGGGGTGACTCATCTTTCTCGGATGTTCTATAGAATTCTTATTCTGCTGAATATTGACAGACGTAATGATCGATTCCTTCCTCGTTTTTCCTTGTCGATGAGACATGATCATCCTTATGTGCATCGCTATCGATATTACAACCTCCTCTCGTTGTTGTTTGTTCCTGTTTTTTAGGTGAACGCGTTGAACGATTCGCATCAGCAGTTGATAGTTCATTGGGTCGGTGAAAGATCGAACACGATAATATGCCTGGCACGGGACAGCACGCCGATGATAAGATTGCAGGGAAGCAAGGTACCCCCGAGCCCACCCGCGAACCCTAGCGCCGTGTATATTAGCTACGATTATGGGGACACGTTCGAAAACAAGACGGAGAAATTCCGGATCAACGATTCGGACTCGAACGAGCCGGCGTCGTACGCGACTCTCGACAAGTTCGTCAACCATCCGCACTTCTACAAGAACTACATATTCGTCGACAGCGCGCACAAGCTGCTGTTCGTCACGCGGGACAACGCGAAAACGATCGATAAGATACCCGTGGAGTTTTACCCGAGCGAGATCTCGTTCCACGAGACGGAACCCGTCACCTTCGCGTTGGACAAAGTCAACCTCTATCTATGGCTGTCCACGGACATGGGTACCACCTGGAACGTGGTCTATACGTACGTGGAAGCGTTCTTCTTGCTACCCGGGCCGGTGTTCCTGTTCGAACGGAGCAACACTCTTCTTCAGCTGTCGTTCGACGGGAACAAAGTGTACGACACGGTGAAGCTGGTCTTCAAGGACTTAGAAGATTTCCAAATCAAAGGCGACTACAGATTCGCTACTACGAAGAAATCGAAGAACGGTACGAAACACTTCGATCTATACGTCGCTTACAAGAACTACAGTTTCGTCAAGGCCGAGTTCAACACGGCCCTGCCGATCATGAACTACCACGTGGTCGACGTGTCGTACAACAGAATCTTCGTCGCCGCGTCTCACAGTGAGACGCAGGTGAATCTGTACGTGTCGGAGATCGTGAATCAAAAGATGGTAACGTTCACGTTGTCCCTCGAGGGGATCCTCACGTTCTTTCCGAAGAGCACTTGGAAGGACAGCTGGTTGAACGACGTGGCGGACGAGACGTTCACCGACTTGTACAAGGTCGAAGGTCTCCGCGGTATTTACATAGCGTCGCAAGTTAAGGGAACGCCGAAGTCAGGATCGATCGGCCCGGAGCACTTGGTCTCGTTGATCTCGTTCGACCATGGCGCAACTTGGAATCCTATAAAGCCGCCGACTTCCAACTACGAAGGTTTCTACATTCATTGCGGCAAGAACTGCTCGCTGCATCTGAGCCAACGATTCAGTCAACTGTACCCCGTGACGAGATCGGTCTCAATAATGAGTTCGAAATCTGCCCCGGGGATTATAATGGCCACCGGAGTGATAGGCCCGAACCTCAAGGGTCATCCCGCTTTGTACGTGTCGAGAGACGCCGGTCTGAACTGGATACAAGTCCTTAAAGATTATTATTTCTTCAACATGGGGGATCACGGTGGTCTTCTGGTGGCCGTCAAGTACTTCAAGTCCCGCGGCGAGACCAGAGACATCTCTTACTCGATAGACGAGGGGGAGACCTGGCAGACTTATCAATTCAACGAGAAGATGTTGCGCGTTTACGGACTGATGACAGAGCCCGGCGAGAACACGACCGTTTTCACGATGTTCGGCTCGACGAGCGGTCAACATCAGTGGCTGATCATCAAGGTCGATCTGCGGAACGTGTTCGAGAGAAACTGCACCGAGGACGATTTCAAATTCTGGTCACCGGTGAACTCCGATCAACTGGGGATGTCCTGCGTGCTGGGTCGGAAGGAAACGTATCAAAGGAGAGCCGTGCTAGCTAAATGCTACACGGGAATGGATTACGATCGGCCCGTCAAGACGGAGATATGCCCGTGCGACTTCAACGATTATCAATGCGATTTCGGCTTCGCTCGAGTGGAGAATCCTTATCACTGCGTACGAGATAAGTCCATGACCTACGATCCCTACGCCGTGCCGACCACCTGCACGTACGGCGCGTTTTATAATCGCACCAAGGGTTACATGAAGATAGCCGACGACGAGTGCGAGGGTGGATTGGCTGCAAACTACGAGCCGGACGAGATACCGTGCCCGGTAGAAGAGAAACCGGTTTTCTTATTGGTATCGCAGCGGGAGCACATATCACGGATCGATCTGGTCGTGGAGAAGCTAGAAACGTTGCCTGTTCACGGCCTGAAGAACGTGATCGCCATCGAGTTCGATATGCAAGAGAACTGCTTGTACTGGGCCGACATCGTGAACGACACCATAGGCAGACAGTGCCTGAACGGTACGAGGGCACCCGAGATACTGGTAGAGACCGATTTGAGCTCGGTGGAGGGAATGGCGCTCGACTGGGTGTCCAAGCTGTTGTACTTCGTCGACGGAGTCAAGATGAGGATTCAAGTGATCAGAACGGATTTATCCTCTCAGGGGCGAATGCGGCGGACCATCCTTGGACCCAACAATCTTCAAAAGCCTAGGGGAATAGCTGTGCACCCGATGATGGGTTACATGTTCTGGACCGACTGGGCACCGGGTAACGCCTCCGTGTCGAGAGCTAACCTAGACGGAACGGACATAAAGAGACTGTTTGTACAGCCGACCGTCGAATGGCCCAACGGAATCACCATTGATCATATAGCCGAGCGTATATACTGGGTCGACGCTAGCCAAGATTACATCGGATCCAGCGATTTCGACGGCAAGAAGTTCAAAAAGGTGATCACGAAGAACGGGAGGGTATCGCATCCGTTCGCGATCGCGGTGTTCAAGGACAACATGTACTGGGACGACTGGAAGCTGTCGATGATTTTCAGAGCGGACAAAGATTACGGTCTCGGTATCAGTACGATCGTAGGCCAGTTGCCGGGTCTGATGGATTTGAAGGTGTTCGGGCACAGCGTTCAAGAGGGTAGCAACGCTTGCGCGAAGAATCCCTGTTCGCACGTCTGCGTGGGAGCGCCTCACGGACTCTTCACCTGCCTCTGCCCCGACGGAATGGAAATGATCGCGAACAAATGCATGTGCCCCGGCGGAGCCACGCCGCACCCGGACTTGACGTGTCCCCGGGTAGCCAGCACGTGTGCCCCGAATCAGTTCGCTTGCGCGAACAACGCGTGCATACCGGCGACGTGGCGGTGCGACCGAGACAACGATTGCGGCGACGGCTCGGACGAGATTAACTGCAACCGTACCAGTTGCTCGCCGAACTTCGAATGCGACGACAACAAATGCATCTCGAGGCACTGGGTGTGCGATTTCGATCAGGACTGCAGAGACGGCAAGGACGAGCTAGACTGCGAGTATCCAAACTGCACCGACTCGCAGTTCAAGTGCAAGAACGGCAGGTGTATATCGCACAGGTGGCGTTGCGACGACGACAACGACTGTAGAGACGGTTCCGACGAGGAGGGCTGCGACAAGAAGGCGTTGCCGAGTACCTGCAGGCCCGACGAGTTCCTCTGCAAGAAGGAGAAGGCTTGCATACCGGCCGGCTGGAAGTGCGACGGCGAACCGGACTGCGAGGACGGATGGGACGAGAACGACTGCGCCGAGATGGTCTGCGAGAGCTGGCAGTTCACTTGCACTTTGTCGCTGGCCAAACATCGTTGCATATACAATTCCTGGGTCTGCGACGGGGACAAGGACTGCGCCGACGGTTCCGACGAGGTAAACTGCACCACCGTCACCCTACCACCTTCACTGGCGCCGATTCTACCCAGCAGCCCGTGTAACAATTGGATGTTCATGTGCAACAACATGAAATGCGTGCCGTACTGGTGGAAATGCGACAGCGTCGACGACTGCGGCGACGATTCCGACGAGATAGGCTGCGGCGGCGGTAATGACGGCGAAGTGGAAGAAGGCACGATCACGTATCCGACGGTGGAGCCGAAGGTCTGCCCGGAGCATCAGTTCCAATGCTTGAACGGCGAGTGTATTCTGAACGCGTGGGTCTGCGACGGTGGTAAAGATTGCACTTCCGGTGAGGACGAGCTCCTATGCAGCGAGAGCGATCATCATTCGTCCGAGTGTTGGAAAGAGGGCAAGTTCACCTGCCGTATGGACGGATCTTGCATTCCCGTGAACAACGTTTGCAACGGCGTAGAGGAATGTCCGGACGGTAGCGACGAGTTAGGTTGCCCGGGTGAGACCCATTCGAGTCCGGCAGCGACGCCGTCCTGTTACGCCGGTCTCTTCCCTTGCGACAGCTTCCGCTGTTTCCCGATGGCGGCTTACTGCGACGGGAAACAAGACTGCATGGACGGTTTCGACGAGAACAACTGCGAGAAGAACAGCTCGCGCGTTTACCAGGTGTTGGTGATGGGCGTCGACGAGCGATCCGTCAACGCTACCAGCGTCATTCTATTCTGGTGGATACCCGTTCCCACGAACGTCACCTTCGAGTTTCTACCTTCGATAGCGTACGCACAGCCCGGTGCCAATTGGACGAACGCTAGCCACTGGATCGAAGACATGGAGTATCAGTTCAACGACTTGAAGCCGCACACTCGTTACAACGTGACGGTTCACGTTCGAATAAAAGGTGGCCAGGCATTCCCGCCGGCAAAATATCAGACAGTGGTGACTGCCGAGGGTGTACCTTCGGAGCCTTGGAACGTGACCGTCACGCAGCGGAACGGGACCAGCGTCGAAGTGTCTTGGAACCCGCCCTTGCATCCGAACGGAGTCATCACCGGTTACGAGGGATTTGTCGCGCCACCGTTACCGCCGATTCGATTCTTCAGACAGAAAACCTCGGCTATTATAGACATGCCGTTCGAGGCAGGGAAGAATTACTCGTTCTGGGTGATAGCCAAGAACAAGGAACGGGAATCGGCATCTTCGAACGTGGCGACTCTCATCTTCGATGGATCGGCAAACATCGACAATATCGACGATCTGAAGGTGGAAGCGACGACCAATCATTCGGTCACCTTGTCCTGGAAGAAGATGAACAGTGTAGATTGCTATCACGTTACTCCGAAAGGACCTGCTACGTACCCCGCGTTACCGATGACGGTCACCGAGGAGAATCGCGTCGAGGTGAACCGACTGGCGCCCGGGACCAAGTACACTTTCGAGGTCGGCGCTATGAAGAACAAATACGTGGGAAAGCCTTCGTCCATTAGCGCGACCACCGAGGGGACACCGTTACCGACTATCACGAAGCTGGTCGCCCAGCTGGTGAAACAGCAAGGAACCACGGTGAAGCTCACCTGGGATCCTCCTAAAAGTACGAGGAAAATCAAATGGCAGTACGCTATCCATTATGCCGTGAACATGGTGGAATTCTTTAAAGGTGAGTGAACGCGCTCGGAGAAAACGCGGTGTTGTTGCACACGAGTGCGTAATCTCGCCTCAATTCTTTTTAAACAGTCCGCTCGAATAATGATTTTATTTTTTTTAGGACACAAACTATTGACGACGAACTTGTCAGCGACTATCAAGGACCTGGAAGCTTGCGAGTCGTACGTGTTCGCGGTCGGAGTGAACGGTGATTACGGCGCGGGCCCGTTGAGTCAGCCGGTCACGGTATTCACGCATTTCAACAAACGCGCCCCACCGAAGAAGCTGAAGGTCTCCCCGTTGGAGAGACACGATACTATAACGATCTCTTGGAGCGCCAGCTGCGCCAACATCGACGAGCCGATCAGATACACGATCACCGTTTACGAATACAATCTGAAGAAACAATTCGTGGTGACTCTGCCGCCAACGAACGAGACGATCATGAAACATACGTTCAATTCGCTGAAATACGGCGGCAAGTATCAGATCACGGTTTCCACGGACGTCGAGGACGCTATACCGAGCCAGCCGGTCGTTTATTGGGCACCGGAGATTCAGCCTCCGCATCAAGTGAAGGTTTTGCATCGAGGGAACGAATGCGTCGTATACTGGATACAGCACGACCTCCCGGACACCCTGAAACCGGCCAAGTATCATTACGAGGTACTGGTGGTGGAGGGCTCGAGCGTGATGAACGAATCGGTCGCTAAAGTTTACAAGGTCGACCAGCCGCCTTACACGTACAAAGACGCGAAACCAGACGTCATTTACACGTTCGCCGTTCGCCTGGTCACCGACGACGGCTACCAAAGTCTTCTCAGCGAGATGTTCAGCACCAGATACAGCGAAGGTAACTCAGTCGTTTCAGCTTCGCCGCTTTTCCAACTAAGATTCGTCGACGACGATTAAAATGAATCTTTCGTCTTTAGAATTGTCGTTACCAGCGACCACGATAAACACGTCCAGCATCCTCTCCTTCGCAATACCGATCTGTCTGTTGATCGTGGCCCTCGGATCCGTATTGGCGTACTTCGTCGTCAGGCACAGAAGACTGACCAACAGCTTCACGCAGTTCGCCAACAGTCATTACGATACCAGACGCGGGCAAGCAACATTCCCGGGGACTACCGACGGTTTAGGTAAGTTTCGACGCGTAAGTCTCGACTGAGGGATGATCATCGTTCGATGTTGGTTCGATTTCAGAAGAGGAGGACAGTCCGGTGATCAGAGGCTTCTCCGATGACGAGCCACTCGTCATAGCATAAATATCGAAACTGGGGCAGCAGGTAAACGAAATCACCCAATTACGTCGCAACCTGTCTCTCTATACATGTAGACGATATCGTTACGCGTCAGGAGAAAAATGATGTGCCAACGTACGTACGCTCGATACTATATAAAATTCGAGTACGCATATGTACGCATAACGCATAAGTAAATGAAAACCTGATCATAAAAGTGGTGGGGAACGTTTATAAGAATGGCTCAACAAGACTGACGTGCATTATACAAAGACAGATTGTTTACATTGGTTTCATGTACGCGTCTATTCGTCGTATCTAACGTAAGTGAGTAACCGAAATTGTATTTGTTGATCAAACGGGTTGTTGTTGTTGTTGTTGTTGTTCAGAGCACTTACACGAAAGTTTTGCCACGATTGCACAAGAAGACGAAGACGAAGAAAAAGGATCGTACCCCCTCCTCACACCTCTATGTTTGTAGATTAATTATTATACACGTGTACATGTTATAGGTCCGATTAAGTGTACGGATGATTTAAGTTTACGTCGTATCTATGGAGCCGTGAAGAGTGAGAGAGAGAGAGAGAGAGAGAGAGAGAGAGAGAGAGAGAGAGAGAGAGAGAATATTTGTACATATAGTGAATATTTTGTACGAACAGTCCAACAGAATTTCTAATGTTATTCGGGAGACTATTGCCATATACGTGACGCCGCACGCCATCGAATCTGTACTATGTGTACACGAAAATGTGAACGAACCGCCTTTCATTTTATTGATCGATCTTTCTATTTCGCACGTTCTTGAATTTTCTTCTCGCGCGTCGTGTTATTGCTTACGTTTTTCGCTTCTTCCATGCACGAGCACTTCCATCGCCGCGATCGATCGATCGATGAAGAAAATTCTGATAAGACTTTTCAACGCTGCTGCATTACAAATTTCCTCTTCAAGTTACTGGTTTTCGTTCATACGCAGATGCAACTTCGCGAGAACGAGCTTGTCCGTAATTAATAATTAACGCGTATACATTTGTAGAACGGTAACGACGGTGAAAGTTCCGATCGAACGGTGACGAAAAATTGGAGATAATTAATTGGCGTGACGACACTCTACTATTACACTTTTAAGCGACTCTGTAACATATTCTTGTAATTTAGATATTTCTCTTGTTCTCCGGAGATGGAAACGGGGAAAGGCGATCATTGGATATACAAAGAGGCTTTTTAGCGGGGTGACCATTTGGAATTGAATGCTGGGCGTCACGACGTTACGACAGATTTGTAAATATTGTTAATTGAGTGGACGCGCCGGATCAAATCAGTTCTTTTTCTACACTATAATCGAATCGGAAATTTTTTGCGAAACTATTTTAATCGATTAACTGCGAGTGTTTACACGTTTATGCGAATTTTATAACGACCAAAAAAAAGGAAAAAAAAAACAATGCGACACGTGCGTGTTTTATCGAAGAACTCTTCTTTTTTTGTTTGTTACTGCGAACACTTTATTTTAGCCCATGATGATCCAGCGTGATAATAAAATCGAATGCCCGTGTAATAAATCATCTAAGTTTACGTAAAGCTGCTTCTTTTATTTTTAATTCGTCGGGCTATGCAGATAAAATAAAATTGAAGTAATCTGTATATTTTCCAAATACCGCGAACTCTGATCTTTACTCTCGCGATCTTGCAGAACGACCTTTTTCAAGTTTTTTTTCACCGATTTTTACCCGACGATCTTCCTCAAACGGGAGAATTCTCCTTGGTTCTTGGTGTCGACCGCTTCGACGATGACGCTCATAAATGTTCGTAGACTTAGATAACGAATATGAATATACATATATATATATATATATATATATATGTGTGCATATGTATCACATATCAATGCGAGGGAGAAGACGTTGTGCCGAGCGAAGTCTGATTTGAAAACAGTACCGAGATTGGTGTAAGTTCTCTTTTATTAAATCGATGCCGACATCCTCGCAGGCAAACAAAGAGTACAGCGGACAAGGAACGAGGGGAAGACGAACTAGGCGTACTAGACGATTCGAGTGGAAACTTCTTAACGCGCGATGACGATTAAAAGGAACAGCGTTCGTACGCGTTAATCTCAACGGTTATAGCAATATAACAGTGATATATACATAATATATATATACATATATATATATATATATAAATTTGCGTGTAAATAAATAAATGAATTTAAGGCACGTCCAATCGTTCTTTTCTTGCAATGTCCTTCGAATCGCATCTGTTCTAAGAATTATGTCCTTTACTACTTTTTGCCTGCTGCTGCTACTACTACTACTACATACTCGGACAAACCAGGAAAATCTGTTCAGTAATAAATGCGCAAAGAAATTCTCGCTTCTTCTCGGAGGAAATAAGATAAGCATGTAAACTGTATGAGGAAATAACACGATTTCGAAATCCTCCAATCGAACGTCCCGATCGTCAACATTAAACAACAGTTGTCGTTTTGTATATCCGAGACGGGAATTCCGAGATTATCTCCCCGTCCGCTGGCGAGTGAGAACGTGCGCGCGCGTAGGATAATAGCGCGGTTTATTTATACAAAAACCTGTTCCCGAGAGCGGTCAGCCAGTAGCTTCTTATTCTTCGCCGCTTTCGTCGTCGTCGCCGCCGCCGCGGAGGAATCCTTCAGTGTCGCTCTTACTGTGTGAAAGCTATCATGTACGCTGCAGATTCTAAGCGGTTTCTTGCCGCGATTCTCTTTTTTTTCACTGCTATAGTGCAAGAAAGTTTCGCGCAATACACGCCCCCGACGCCAAGCGTCGAGCCGCTTTACCCGAAGGGACTGCGGATGTCCATTCCACGTAAGTAATTCTAGACTAATTGTCCGAGACGCTTCTTATTTTGCAAGCGTCGACTGCGTCAATCGAAGAGTCGCTCGAACGATCCATCGATTTTTAGACGAGGACGGAATCAGCTTGGTCGCGTTTCACGTGAAATTCAACGAAGACTTCTACGGCCTCGAGGCAGGTTCCATTGCCAGGGATATTATAAAAACGCGACACGGTCAATGGACCTATGAGGACCGAACGACGAGACTGAAACGCGGCGATGTAATTTACTATTGGATTCACGTAGTCTACGACGGTCTCGGTTACAATTTGGTCGATCAGAGTATGGTAGTCGAGGGTGAGAATTGAAACAATAAAATCGACGTTACACTGTTGGAGAGAAGATTTTCAAATTGATGAGAGAAAATCGTTGTAATCTTCTCGCTAGACTTCTACAACTACGATGGAACACCGGTGAACCAGGACGTTATCTCTGAGATTACCTGCGCGAACAAGCCGGAGACGAAAATATTCGATAATAATCGTCGGGAGAAGCCGAATAAATACTGCCCCGGTCAATTAATTTTCGAAGACAATTTCGATTCCCTGAGCGACAAGTGGAAAATTATTGAAAGCTTCTCGGGCGTTCCGGTAAGTAAATGAGGGAGAAACTGGATCCGTAACAATTCTATGACACGTCGCTTCAGAGTTACGAGTTCGTGGTATACATGAATAACGCGGACAACGTGCACGTCAGCGATGGTTCCTTGCACATCAAGCCGGGTTTAACCAACGACAAGTACGGTGAAAATTTCGTCCGCGACGGGAACCTGACGTTAACGCAGTAAGCATTTGTATAGCAAATCAATTTATATCCCAAACGAATCCCAACAATTTGTCATTTCACCGTCCACTTAATTTTGCGAATTTTAGATGCACGGACGCGACTGATCAATGCAACCGAAGGGCAGTCGCGTGGAACATTTTACCACCCGTGATATCGGGACGTCTGACCACGCAAGACACGTTCGTTTTCCAGTACGGCCGAATTGAAGTCCGTGCTAAATTACCTCGCGGCGATTGGATATATCCCTGTGCGTTTTACCGTTCTGAAGAACAGAGTTCGTAATTGAAAACGAAGACGGAAGGGGGAGAGAGATGATAACGAATTGTGATCTCCTTTCAGCGATCAGTTTGGTCAACGCGAACAACGATAAGCAAGGCTCGGTGCATTGCGACTTGATCGTAGCACATTCGGCCGGAAATCCGTCTCTCAGTACGAAGGATGGAAACGATATAAGCGGTCGCGTTCTTATGGGTGGTGGCCACGCGATAAACGTGAAACAGCGTCAAGATAATCTGTACAATCTTCCTAGGAAATCTGCAGATTCGTTGTGGTCCGATGGTTACCACTTGTACGAATTGGAATGGAAACGTGGCCGATTGACGCTTAAGGTGGACGGAGAACAGTACGGCGAACAAACGCTCCCGTCGTTATTCGAGACTCCGGTCAGTTTTTTTATCGTCAAATAATTACGGTCGCCAAAAATAATTAGGCGACCCACGACTTTTCACAGGCGTACGTAAACATCGGTTTGGCTGTGGGAGGTCTGACCGTCTTCCCAGACGAGTGCGTCAGCAGTAACTACAGGAAACCGTGGGAGAACAGCGAGCCGAAGGTAAACTCGAAACTTCCGTCCGTTTTTAAGAGAATTATAGATTTAATTCACGCGACCCGTTCCAGGCGATGAACAAGTTCTACCAAGCACAGAACAAGTGGCAGAACTCCTGGAACAACAGAGACACAGGCCTCCACGTAGACTACGTCAAAGTTTGGTCTGTCTAAGGATTACTCAGACCCCCAAACTTACACGCATCACATTTTAACCAATCCATTTGCTTCTTCCTTTATACGTATAAGTCTATAAAAGACGTCAAATAGGGTAGTAGGGTGGCGGCACGAGCACGGAAGGTGGTACAGATGTATGTCGATAATAGGGAACACCGTTCGGACGGAAACCGGAGCCTAGTGACTCGATCAGCCACTGTCCTCGATAACCGTAGCGCCTCTGATAATCGTACGAGGCCCGGGGTCCGTCTTCAGGTTTAAACTCGAACACTATCTTCTTCTTGGTATCCGGCGAGGCTATCAGCCTCAAGAGAGTCTCCGCACTGTTCCTCGGAAATTGCCAGAATCCTCCGCCGCCGCTGCTGCCGCCGGACCACAGAGTTCGCAACGTAGAGAACCATCTGGACGGGGATAGATCGTACGGAAGTGTCCTGACCACACGGTGGGTTCCATCGCACTCGACGATCGCGCACAGCTGTATTTGTAATTAAAGAACGATGAGACGATTTCTTCCCTAACATTTTATTCCCTTGCCGCATCCCACTTACCGCGGAAATTACGATCAACACGTGATTCGTGCGCATTTCTTTCCTTTCGATCGATCCTTCAGGCAGGAAAGAACAAAAGCAATTACATGCCGTCTCCGATCGTCCGGCCACCTTTATGCCTTCCGAGTGGGTGACAAGTCCGTGCGCGGAATACATTTTTCCTGGCCGACAATTTGAAACGTAGATCGCGTAGCTTTTCAAACGACTCGCGCCTCGCCGCCACCCGGTTCGATCTTTTTCTTACTTTCACTGGCTTACAGTTGCGCCATAGACCTCTGCTCGCATCAGCCGATTTCTTTCCACCGCGGCAATTATTCAGTTAGTATTCCGCGCCCGTCTCGCTGTCATCGTGCTACGCTTCGCGATTGTTTTACAGGAGGAACAGCATGGATTTCTCTCGTAGTCTGGTATACTTAAACACGACCAATGATTAACGATTACGATTTTTAGTTAAACTTTATTCGATGTTTCATCGAACGATATTTTTAATACGCTACTTCGTAGAAACAGAATTTCCCAATTCGTTCGAAAGGAGAGTTTTTTCGAATTTTTAACAGTATAATAACAAACGAAATGTACAATAATTGAAACTTATTAATCCAAGTGTTATCGAATCGTTTAGGTAGTCTCGATTTTTCTCCTCACACTGTTCAACACCGATACAAATGTATTGGCCGCCGAACCCATCAGTGTTTTCTCATTCATTCACGACCTCATTCAGTATAATATAGCGGGGGTACCGCTCATCCACGAGGCAAGTACACTCTTCTGCTGTGAAAAGAAAACCAGTACAAATCGATTAAAGCCAGAATCGTGACGGGGGTGGGCTAAGGATCGGCGGATCTCACTCCCTTAAATCTGTTCACTAGGAGACGCAATGGGATTTCGATCCAGAAGTTGGAAAACAGAGAAGAGTGATATACGAGCAGGAGAACGGACGTCGCGGCGAGGCAGCGATCGCGAGGATCGGTATGGGAATCGGATACAAGGGAGCTTGGGGAACGACCGTCTAATCGGATAGACAGTCGATAATCTGCAAACAGACACATTGAAAAATAACATAGTTGGATTGTGATACGATCAGACAATTGTATTTTATTACACTAGTCGTGTAGTAAAGATAGAATCGAGTCGAATTTTATCGAGAATGTATACGCGCGTGTATTGTATAAATAAATGAATCTTTTCCGTTTTCTGGCACGATTGAATCTTTATCGTCCATTTCGTTTCCGTTCCGACCTTGAAAAATATTTCGTCAAACGTCGATCGCGTAATCATCTTCCATCGACTGGCGATGGGTTCGAGGAAACGCCGTTTTCTAGCAGGTGCGTCTACGTGCGTCTACGTGCGTCGTCGTCGTCGTCGTCGTCGTTCGACTTTCACTCGCGACGTTTAACGGTGGGGACCACCGGACGAAGAACACGGGTAACAACACAGGCCTCAGAATAAGGCGAGCATAAGGTGAATCGAAAACGGAAACGAACTGTCGATCGTGCACGGGCTATAGTGTTTATCAGATTGATCAAATAACACCTTGTTTTCGATCGAAATAAAATTGTTAGACCGTGTCGCATATCGAAGACATTTGGCATTACGTTTAAGGAACTTTCCAACTTTCTTCGTTGCGAACAGAAGCCGTACGCGCAATCATAAAGAGATGGCGGCGAGACACGTGAGTAGAATACGAAACGTAAAAGTGTTAAATAAAACGCTCAGAGTAAGTCCCCGAAGAAAATTGTACGAAAGAATTTTAGGAGCAAGAGATGCTAGAGTGTGGGTCACTGGACGCTGTTTCACCTGCTGCGCTATGCGCGCACACACAGCAGCGCGCTTTTTCTTTATTATTTATTACGAAACGTTTAACAGATGATGAATATGCATGCTCTTCTTCATATCTTTACATCGTCACGCGCTAAATTGTTGACCTACATTCCAGTGGACAACCGTGATCTTTGCGACCGTAATCATGATCGTCGGGTTTTTACTCGGATCGATAGCAGAGACCGCGGCGACGATAGCACAACCGAAGGCACCTAACTTCCAGTATTTCGAACGGTAAAATTTAGGAGGACTGTGTTAACATCGAAATTGTGCTAATCGTTACCTGTTCCATCCATTTATAGCCCCAAATACCGGTATCCGTACTACGATGAGAACGGAAGAGGGAAATTACTCTACGGCTACGGAGGACCCGATCTGTACCAGTATAAAACTTACAGTGCCCTCGAGGGAATTCACTGAAACGACAAGAAGCGATAAATCATGCTTTACCTAATTAAGTATAATTGTGTAACATCGTGTTGATCGACAATCTCCTCGCTGTTACATTAACACGCTGATGTTAAAAATAAATCTGCGACAAATCAATAAGGACTACTGTATGTATAGTTATGTAGCTACGGTTATTTTCAATCAATCACCTACTCACGGAAATCACGTTTTGCGACGGAACGATCGTCACGATTACCCTCTATCCAAAGTCACGTGTAAGCTGTCAGAAAAAAACTCGCGTATGCATTATTGGCTATATTCAATCGTTCGCTCGGCAGACAGTGCGCCGAGTCTCTCATTCTTATGGGTAAAAACGGACTCGGCGACTTCTGGTTCAGCTGTTTTTTTCCTCTGTTCAACGTCGTGATTCAAGAGAATTTTACGGCTTACGTTCCCCGCATGGGCTCTTCGACCCGGACTGCGAATGATGTCCACTCCGCGACACCGGCGACGGTCTGATACGTGGTGGTAATAAGTTCGATCGTTGATTGAAGGCGTTCCCAGAAATAAACTGAATTAATAATAATACTTTGACTCCCATGATGGGACACCACCGGTAGTAGTACGAAGAGAAAAGAGGTATATATTACGTTGTAGAACCGAAGAAGGTCGATTTAAGCAAGACGGAGCAAGAAATGCATCGGGGATGGTTCATGGAGCAGCAGGTACATTACATAAGATCGTTTATTCTCTCAGTTATAATTAATTGTATTTTTTAAATGCAATCGATTCCGTGTGCTTAATTACGTCTTAAATGTATGTTTCACTTTATCACGAATGGTTGTTTTATTATGCGAGAGTATATTTTGCAAGAGAGAAAAAGAGAGAGAGAGAGAGAGAGAGAGAGGGAGAGAGTGGAAACGAGTGTGAAATTGTTCGAGAGACAAACTGTTTTTTTTTTCTAGTCGAATGAATGGAGAAATAATGGATTTTAAGAGTCGGAACAACACCTATTCACGACTGCTCGATGATCGTCGCGCTACAAACACGACTGATGTTAAAATCGATCGTCTATACGAAGAAGTACATGGAATGTGCACGGCGTTTCCTCTAGAATCTATCACGTGTCCAATGTTGATTCCCCGTGAACGCGAGGAAAGTGAGAACGGCTAAATATATTCTAAACGCCTAAAAACGTTGGATATCAGAGAGAGAGAGAGAGAGAAATGTGTAAATGTTAAAAAACGCATTCGATCCTTTTAAAATTCAATCTTTCGTTTAACGCGCCTTCGATTACGCGCACGCACGCGCGACCACGGGGGAGGAAAAATGTGTTGTATCATCTCTGACGGGTGCACAAGTGGTATTAAGTTTTACAAATGTGCAAGCATAGTCGAGTGTATTAGCGAAGAGTTAATGTCTTGACGAACGAAGGACTACTACCCGCGTACGATTGCGCGTCTCGGGTATTTCTGATTTTTTTTATTCCGAATGATGTTTGTCCGCCTTATCGTCGGCAGACTGTAACTGTCATACGAAATCCGTCTCGGACTTGTTACAATACTGTGTACCTGCTGTTCGCCGTTTGTACAGTTGCCTCTCGATGAATTTCTTTATTTCGCTGATCACGAAGACGCTCGATGTCAGCGCGACGAGGAACAGGATGTCTGTCGAGAACAACAAGTAAGAGTGAACACGATCCGTTTGATCGATTTCGCTTCGTCTTCGTACCTTTTGCCGAGAGAGCTTCCGTCTGAAAAACTCGTTGCAAAGGCGGGAAATAGATCACTAGCATCTGCCCTATTACCGACAACGTAACGGCCACCAGGAACATTTTGTTACTCCACAAACCAATGGTAAATATGGACTTGGTCTGAAACACGTTTCCAACACGTTCGTTCGTTCATACATTTATAGAAACGAATCTTATTGGATATCTATCACGAAACGTATCGTCGTTATTACTCACTTGTGATCTACAACTTAAAGCGTTGAACATGTCGAAGAAAACGAAACAGGTAAACGTCATAGTTGTGTCTCTCGCAGTGGTACCGTCAGTCGTCATCTGACGCAGAAACACAGAACGGATCAGAGGTGGCAAAGAATTCGGTGTGAATGAACTGAAGACTTCGTACCTCTCTGTTATAAACCCATAGAGTGCCAAGAATAATGATAGCAGCAGACAGTAGTACGTTGATGATCAGACGTCGATTGATCATCGGTTCCTTCGTGTCGCGCGGCTTTTGTTTCAAAACATCTTTGTCAACCGGTTCGACGCCGAGACTGTGAGAAACGATTAGTTAATTACAAGCCCTTATTCTTTCATCTCGTCAGCATCCTGACGTCTCCTCGTCGACAAATGTGGTTTGATTTAATTGTTACCTTTGAGCAGGCGGTCCATCCATAATGATATTGATCCAGAGAATCTGCATGGCATTCAACGGATTCGGTATACCCATCAAAGTAGCAAGCGCGATCAACGACAAAGCAGCTATGCTTGTACTTAATTGAAATCTCACGAAGTTTCGTATATTATGAAATATTCCTTTCCCCTCTTCGATCGCAGCACTTTGGGAACAAAAAAAAAAATGTGAAACGCGAAGATTAAAGAAACGCGGGAGGAGGAGAGACTGTACACGTACATGATGGTTTGAAAATCGTCGTCGACGAGAATCATGTCTGCAGCTTCTTTGCAGACGTCGGTACCGTTTTTACCCATGGCTATCCCTATATCGGCTCTCTTCAGAGCGACGCCATCGTTCACACCGTCGCCGGTCATGCCCACTATGTTTCCTTCCCTTTGCAAGGCTTTCACGATGCACAGCTTATGCTTAGGAGTGACCCGGTAAAACACGCTAACGTTATTGATGCACTGCTCCAACTGATTCTCGGACATCAGATCGATCTCGTCTCCGGATATCAATCGCGAATGCAGCACGTCTAGCCCGATCATGCTCGCTGTGAAGAAATAACACACAAGGGATGTATGAGACCTGTCATCGACCGATAGTCACGAATTCCAACGAAAGCGATTATTATATATACATATACCCCATACCTATCGCGGATGCAGTTTCTCTGGCATCACCCGTAACCATTTTCACTTTAACACCGCTATTTATTAAAGTCGTTATCGATTCCCGAACGTGGGGCCGCGGAGGATCGCATATACCCACGAGGCCGACGTACATGAGATCTTGCAGCGACGAACCACGCGCCAATCCGATTACTCTCAATCCCTGCTGTCCGATCTCGTACGCTTCCGTCAAGAATTCTTCGTCCCTCTTCTGATTCAAAGCGTACACTTGCCCGTTGACCGAGTACTTGCTGCACAACGGTAAGATCTTCTCTATAGCACCTTTCACAAAATAGATCTCTTGCCTGTTCTCGCCGTGCTTCGGTGTACACTTCACAGCCATCATTTTCTGTTCGGACGAGAACGGGTACTCTTGTAATCGCAGATACTTGTCTGCCACCCCGTACATGCCGTATTTCAGTGCCAACGCTATCAACGCACCTTCCGTCGGCTGACCGAGCAACGTATCGTTTTGTATAATAGCGTTGTTGCAGACGCATCCGACTTCCAGCATGTTACTAATAGCTGCATGGGCAAGGTCGAAGTTGTCGCACTTCCGAATTCGCACTTCTCCTTTATCGTTGTAACCAGCACCAGTTATATCGGCTATGTAACCCTCCGAGGTTACTACAATCGTCGCTGTCATTTCGTTCTTCGTGATAGTGCCGGTCTTATCGGAGCATATCACGTTCACGCAACCGAGCGTCTCGACCGTTGGCAGTTTCTTGACAATGGCTTTCCTCTTGGCCATTCTCATAACGCCCAGAGCCAAAGTCACGGTTACAACGATGGGCAGACCCTCCGGTATAGCCGCCACTGCTAGACTCACGCTGATGGTGAACATCTCGAGTATCGCTTTGCCTTGGATCCAGCCAAGGAGCATGATAATGCCGATGATACAGAACGAATAGAAGGACAACTGCGTGCCCAGGATGTCCATGCTTCTTTGAAGCGGTGTCTTCGGAGACTCCTCTGCTTGCATCATGGAGAACACTTTACCGAATTCGCTCTTCTCGCCCGTATTCACTACTATACCCTGCGAAATAGTTGAGTCATAATAGGTTTTTAGTTCAGTTTCGCGCGTATTCGTTTAAAGCTTACCTTCCCATTACCGCAGCGTACCAGCGTGCCCATAAACGCTATATTCCTCTTCGACGTTAATCCGTTACCTTTCAATATCGGAGCTGTCGACTTTTGTGCCGGTTCGGTCTCCCCGGTGAAACTGCTCTCATCGATCGCTAGATCTATCGCTTCGAATATCCTGATATCGGCTGGCACTCTATCCCCGATATTTAAATAAACTACGTCGCCAGGAACTAAATTGCGAGCGAGGAACGTCTCTACTCTACCTTCTCGTAAACTGTAAACAGAGAGGAAGAACGCTCTTTTCACATTTCATATTCGTACGTATAACAATTTTAACTTTTACGCGAGGCGTTACGTGAAAGAGAATTTCACCGATCGGGACCGGGTATGCTATCTTCTAACAAGGCAAAGGGAACCATGTGTTCTGCGTGAAGGGACAACGTAGCCACCGAGGAGTGTAGCCTTTAAGGAACGTGCCATCATGTTACAGCAATACTACCCACAATTTCGACAGCTCGTTTCTGCACCCTATTAGTATAAATAATAATCGTATGATTCAGCACACATACCAGTGACACGTAGGCGGCACCAATTTGTTTAATTCCTCTAAGGACTTTTCAGATCTATATTCTTGCACGAATGCAACTGTCACTACTATTATGATAGCCTGAGGAGAAAGAAATCTCGTGAAAACGATAATAGAGATTGTCAGAGAGTCATGATATGCAGTTGCAGCCACCACTCACCACTGTAATACTGACAGCATCGTCGAACTGCTTCATACATATGCTAACAAAAGCAGAACCCAGAAGTAACAGGATTAAAGGGTTTTTAAACTGAAACAGAGAGGAACGTAAGCTTAGCATTTTGTGATTCATCCCGAAGCGATGGAGGCATCATTTCAGAGCACCTGTTCGAGATACTTCTTCCATGTCGGTTCCTCTTCTTTAACGCTAAATTCATTGAACCCGACTAGTTGTCTTCGATGGTCTGCTTCCTGCCACCAAAGGCCAGTTCTCACGTCCACGTGCAACCTGGCGGACACCTCCTCCGCGCCAAGGCTGGCTGCGTCGGATGTCGTCAACCACATCATCGGGCCTTGGTCTTTGTCCTTGTAACATCCAGATTAATTGCGTTAACTCGATTGATTATCATCAGTTAAGTACTCTTTCCGCCGATTCATAAAAATCGTTCTTCTGACCTTTTAGCGTACACGTTTTCTAACTTCGAACTGACACATGTCAAGTCTTATAAAATTAAATGCATAAATCCTCGATCAGAATTTTTTTATTCCCCTCCAGGAGAATGCTCGATGTCTTTGTGTGCAGACTCATGACAACGAAGCAATCGTCCAACACGTTAACCTTCACACAGCTTTATCGAGACCGATATATTCTCGTCGAAGATGGAAACATGAATTTCGATAACATTGTGCTGGTGAATCGCGTGCGTTTGATAAAACGTTAATTGCATAAAACTAGTAATTGACTCTGTACGCAGTTTGAGATTAGAATCACTGCCGGACTGCTTTAAACGTGACACGTGTCAATCGTCACTTTTATACAGGAAACAAACTGTAGATATAGACTGATAAAACTATACATGTGTGTTTAATTGGAAACTTCTCGTGCGACAATTAAAATCAGGTCATAAGTCCTACTTGCTGGTATCTAATACCTGTAACCGTAAAACTGTTCTATTTAAGAATGTATTGGCTATACAGTCAATCCCAAAATGCAAGAGCATACAATTTTCTCGAGATAATCGCTTCCTAGGAACGCGTTATGTCATTTGTATCATTATCAAAAATGAGACCCGGATAATTATACGCAAAATGTACCATTTCTGGTATCATCATCGCGGTTTAAAAGAAGCGTTTCAATGGGAACATTTACTTTTGCGTTGAAACATAATCATCTTCGACGTCTTTGATTTATTTTACCGTAAGCCCAAAAGCAACGCTTAGGGGCTAACAATTTCCATCTGTATGCGGCTTTCTGAATAACGCTTCTCGAGCATTTCATAACATCTGCAGTCAAGCAAAATTGAAACTTACGTCTTTCACCGATGCATTTTCGTCGCGGTCCTTGTCGGCGGCTGCGGCCGTCGCTGCGGCGGCATCCAGTTCATTATCCTCGAATAGTTTTTCGTACTTCTTACTCGCCGTATCTTTCATCTCTCCCTCGAGCAGTCGTCGTCGTCGTTCGTTCTCCACCCGGTTAGTTGGAAAATTGTAGAATGTCACGTAGTTCGTTGCTTGAAGTTAAGGTGTCACGGGGACGGATCTAGCGACGACGTTTCACGTAAACTGCGTCCGTCAATCCGGTTTCACAATTTCGAAAAAAGGAAACGCACGAATCATGGTCTAGGAGGACACCCTAGCGAGATGGGAGAAAAAGACAATCGTTGAACGTATGATTCTAAACTCGGTCCACTTTTACGTTAAGACAATATAAGTACTGCTCTTATCGATCGATCGAGGAAAAGAATGATCTGGCCATCGTGGCATTGGACGGTAGGTACAAATAGTTTTTATGTGTGTATGCGCACGCGGATATTAAATAATTTACCGATTTCTACAGTCACGCGAAGGTCGGTATTTCTAATCGGGATCCTTGACTGCAGTCGGAAATTCTCGAGTGAACGGTTCCTTTTTAACTAGCTTCGTTTACTGAAACATGCCGATTGGCCTATTAAAAAAAAAAGATTCGAACGACTTCAAGTACACTAATTCGTTTCAACGCGAAATTAGGCATTGACGGTCGTTGACTTATACATACTAATAGGAACGTCTGCTTATTGGCAGACGGACAAACTAATTTGAATCGAGCAATTAATTAGAATGTTACGACGCTGTTTTAAATCAACAACACACTCGGGCTCGATCGATCGAAAGAGACGTTTGATCGCAGGTTACGATACGCAGAGAGATTACTGTCCTACCGTCGAATTAATCAAGAAGAGAGTCTCATCGATTTTCTAAAGAAGCACCGCAACTAATTTAATATTAAATAAAACTAATCGCGCATGATTCTTTCATTAAAATCGATGCCTCGCGCGCGCGCGAGTGTGTGTCTATCAGCAATCAGCGACACGAATCGAGATCACTTAATTCAAATGTGTACACGTCAAGATTATTGGCCACGCGACGAGTATCGATTAAAAAGCAAATTAAATGACTATTCGATAAACGTCTGCGACAGGGATGACAAATAAATGACCTACATATTCACGTACCTACGCGTGTACACGTTGCCACTATAATTCTCAACTACTGTGTTATCGTGCTCAACTAACGAGGATTGATTAAAAGCCACAGTTCTATAATCGTATAAACGACGTAACACGTTCGTAGAATTGCTAACAATCGAACGAGCTTGCGACCACAGGACACTGATGGTTACTTACTGAAAATCGATAGCGAAGGTTCCTCGAACGCGGACGTGGACGCACGCTACGTATAAGTATATAAATATCTAAGAACGTGTGAAGGACTCTGAAGAAGTAATTCCGAATCGTAATGAACGACGTGACGCGCTCGTAAAGTTTGTAACAATCAAACGGGCATGCGACTACTTACAGGACACTGGTTACGGGTAAAAATCGATACCGAATACGTCGTTCCTCGGCCATCGACGGGGAAACGTATATAAATATCTAAATAGAAACGTAGGTAATTCTAAGGAAAGAATTCCGGAGGAGTGTCCTACCCTCGAGCTTGACCAAGCTGCTATCAGACAACGTCAATAAGTAATCCGAGGCGCGTCGGAAGATCCAGGTCCAACGTGCTGCTAGCTCTACCAGGCGACACGTAACTATACGCCAACTCAACACGAATCACAGACTTTCAATGATACATATTCTATTTAGTACAATCCTCTATTATAGATTGTCTGTTGTCGAATCAATTGTCTTTTAGGCGAGAGCTCTATAAATGCACGTATAAAAGAAGCGTCTAACTAACATCCCATTTGCTCGACGTGTAACTACCGACTGAGTGATAGTGAATGACAGTATTGACACACCAACTGACACACCACCATCCACCACACTATCACCGACCATCACTGACTGAATCAAATACGATCCGAAATTTACCTGCTCTCGATTACGGAGATTCATCCACTGGGTATGACAAATATACGAATGATCTCCGAGCCGAGGAAGTTGTAGTAAATGTAGAGTTAAGCCAGATCGATCGGGACTATTAGTCACCTGACGAGAGGCGCACGGCCGTTTCTAATATATTTGCACGGGACTTTTAACCTCCGATGGAGGGAATAAAACCGATGGAAAATGTGTCGCATGTGAAGATCGTGTGCCCGCTGCCGGAGGAGCTGAGCGTGATAGCGAACAATGTTAAATGCGATAAATGCGGTCTGGTGTTTAAGAACGAGCCGCGGTACCGATTGCACGACCTCAAAGTGCATCAACGTAAAAATTTGGACAAGGCGACAAAGCAGAATGCACGGTACCATTGTCCGGTGGAATCCTGCGTTTACGCTCTCAATGCTGGCGAGAGGTACTTTGCCAGTATGAAATATTTGAAACAGGTCAGTATAGGAGGATGATGATCGTCGAGTTAGAATCGAATAATCCGTTGCCCGATATGTTTGATAGCATTACCTTAAGGTTCACGCGGAGAAGACGCATGCATGCGTACGCTGCGAGAAAAGTTTCTCCACCGAGGCGGCCAAGGAAGGCCACACGAGAGTATGCGGAATTGAATTTACATGTTCCTGTTCCAAGACTTACACCTCTTACGAGGCATTGCTCACCCATGCAAAAAGATCTTTACACAAGATAAATGAAAAGTATAAAAATTTGCTGAGGTAAGTTGAATCGCGAGGAGACACAATTTATTCGTCATACAGCGAATCCGGAATAATCATCTCGATTCGCAGGCGCTCGAATTCTAAGAGAATGAGATTGATCCTGTCCACCAGTCAAACAGAAATAAACAAACTGATTACGATACTACCGACGAGCCAGAATGGGAACGGGAATAAAGCGTGCAAGAAAAGTACGTCGGACATCGCTACGCAAACCGACGACTGCAGCAGAAAGAATAAAAGAGTATTGAATCCGTTGAAGCAGACTGACAGTGCTAGTAGCTATTGTTACAGTGAAAAACGTGCAATTTCTAAACATACGCAGACGGAGAGCTCTCTGAAAGTTAAGCAGAGAGTAACGTCTATGGAAACCCAGACCACGTTCAAGAATTCGTTGAAAGACAAGACAGAACAGAGACATGGAAGGAATGTGTCTCAAAATTCCGATTACACCCTGTTAAAGGAGGAGGACCTGAATCTTGCCAATTTCACGTCCTCGAACTTATTCCCGAACAGTCCTCTACCGCTTCGTCACGACGACGACGACGAATTACAAGATTTCTGGGAGGATAAAAGTACGTCCGGCACGCAGACGATACCTGAGAAAGATATGTTTGAAGTTCTGAACGATAACGTCACTCAAACGGAGTACGACACGTTTTACGATCACAATCCGTTGATACAGTGCGCCACTCCGAAGAGTAGTACAGTAGCTTTAATGACTTTGCCTTACGTCGAAGAGGCATCGTCGACGGTCGAAGGATACGCCTTCGCGTCTTCGAACAGCAAACTATCGCGATCAGATCCGATGCTGACCGATAAAACTTTCGACGACAGGTTCAGCAGCATCGAGACGCAAACGGAACAAGCTTATTCCCAACCGTTCGGTTTCGACCCGGACCCGTTGACCAGGTCGTTTGCGTTGAGCTCTACCATCGAGACGCAGACCACGAATAATCTCGACAACATGGAGCAGTTGTTGTACAGTAACACGTGCACGCAAACTTGCAACGAGATGTTACCGTCGGATTTAGGATTGTCGAATATTCAGACCCAAACGCCTTGGTCTCAGCTGGAGGATACCACGGTCTCGGCCGAAACGCAAACGAAATCGTTGATTTGCGAAACGGGTTGCAACATTCCGATGAGCGTCTGTCGCTCCTGGCTGAGCACTCAAACTAGTCACACCGAAACGCAGACCGATCTATTTAGCATTTTCGAAGGTCTCCAGTAGTAAGGGAATTGTTTATTGTGATCGTGCAGGGGTTTGCATTTAATATCGCAGGATAAGACTAACACGACCCGAATTACTTCAGTTCAGTTACTTTGGTATTTCGTTTTCATTTATACTTTACTACCAAATAATTATTTAAGTTTCGCGTATAATATGTGCAATTCGCGTTGACAGAGCGATTATATGTAACGATCGAAAACTGCATTTCGTTTTTGAGAAAGAAGATGTCTCGAATTTACACACAAGTTACACAATGTTCACTGCCAACATATACAAAATATATGTTTATACACATATGTCTCCAGAATAAGAAAATACATATTCCAGGCAATGCGAGTACAATTTACTAATAAAACTGTTGGTCTCGAACGAAATGAAATTTTAAGGGGGCAAACAAACCTTGAAACTTTTCGTTTACAGTATTTTATAACTTGACGAAAATAGTCAAAGATAAATAAAATTTAATACGGATACTGATCTACGTTTCCTTAAAATATATGTGTCCACGATGCGTGTTATGGATGTATAAAATAGTACTTTATTAGAATGTTAGAATGTAATGTGATCCTTCTTACGTTCTCAAAGTATGTAAATTGAATTGTAGAATTCTTCAATTCAAATGTTGTGTACTTGTGTCAAGTATAAAGACAATTGTAAAAAGTTTGCTTTCTCTTTCGTACAAAGTTTGATACGCTGTACACTGTTGGTTAAAGAGGCGCGTTCGTCGACTCGTTTGTAATTATCGTCATCGTATTTTCGACGCTCAAGAGTCATGTACCCCCTTAAATAGAAAAATACGCAAAGGACCTTGCGCCCGCCTCGAATCTACAATTGCTTGGCGCTGATAAATCTCAACATTTATAAAGAAATGGAACTTGTAACTTGGAAACTGTACACGTAACACTGTCACGAGATAACTATTCAAAATATAGTTGTCCTTTTCTTTCTTTTTTCTCGAATAACTGCGGTGGAATCGCGCGTTACCGACCTGCAGTGCTTAATCATGGCATCATTCGTCACGTTAAAACGTACGTATAAAAGTTAAAATCTTTAGTCGTCGCGTTTGCTCGGAGCCGTATCTAATTAGATTGCGCATTTGAACATGCTGCTACTTTTGCCCATGTTTGTTGCAAAGGATTAAAATTACGCTCAACAGACGCGATTTGCCAAACGGGGATGACACGTTTTCATATAATTGTCGTACATACACTGAGAAACGTTATGCAAGTGAAAGGTCAGAAGCTATTATTAACACACATGTAAAGGTACAACAAACATGACCCTCCCGATTCGATCGGGTTCACCGATCGACTCCAAAACCATAGAAACTCGTCTCGCGCGCGAGTTACAGGAACTTATTTTGCACTAGCTGGTGGAATACGTTTTCGTAAATGTGGAAACCAAGGACTGCGTACAAAAACCAGAGGGTATACATAATACATGAAAATGTATTAAAGTGCAGGACCAGCAGCAGCGTTGTCCGGGTCGAAGTCTGGGAGAAAATCTTTGGTCCGGTCTTCTATCCTATCCACGTTTTCGACCGCCGAGGCTAGTACTCTTAAATTGTCCACGCCAGACAATAACTGTCTTAACGAAACTTCTGCCGTCGAGGCCGCGTTTCTCAAGTCCTCGGCTAGCCTTCTCGCTGTCTGATCCACGCTATTCGAAGAAGCGGCGCGATCGTTTCTGGTGTTCGTCGCGGCGGTAGCTCTGAGCTGATCGTTCTCCCATCGAAGTAACGATATCTCCACCGTTAAAGATTTAATCTCCTTTTTCAATGATAAAATAGTACTTTCCGCATTCACCACTCGTCTCGCGTTATGTTTCAGATTATCTTCTACTTGTTCCATGGCTTTCTCAAGGTGAACCGTTTCCTCGTGTTCCATCTCTTTCCGAGATGCCAATTCCGCTTCTAGCGATCGAATCCTGCAATCGACCAAAGTAAATCGTTGAGTGTACACGTCCCGATGCATACGACCCAAACATTTCCCACCTTTCTTTCTTCTCGTCGATCTGATTGTGAGCTATTTGCAACCCGTGCCGCAAAATTTCATTCTCCAACAGTATCTTAAATAGAACGAACGTCAAGTACAGAAGTGAAGAGTATACAATGTGAAATTTAGCACTGTCCTTACTCTTTGCACTGTGGATTCTGAGATATCTTGTACATTCTCCGAGTCTGCTGCCCTATTACGAATAGGACCATCGTTCAGAAAGTCTGGTAAAGATTTCGGTACGTTCGCTTCTTCGCTCGTCCCTGGATGGGAACAGCAGTCTCGTACGGCGGCATTCGCGTCGGAATTAGTCTCGTTCGCGGATATCGGTAAATCTAAAGGAAACCCTGCACAACGAACAATCGTTAATACACAAGCAATTAATAAAACTGTGCTCGCACTACGTACCTGACGATTCTGGACGTTCACTTGATCCTACGCTAGGTTCGGCAAAAAAATGCGTGTTACAACTAGTGTTTGGTACAGACTGATTCTGTCGAGGTAATACATATTTGTCCCAATTCCCATCGGTCGAAAGATCACAATAACCGGTAACTTTCTCCTTTAATTTCTTTGTAATCCTAGTCTTCCTCACACTGTTCAATGCGAAGTCTGGGAGATTATCTATATCCGAGTCGGCCTGTTGCTTACGCTCGGGATTCAGATAGTATTGTTCTATGACCAAGTGATCTTGCACGAAATCCGGAAGTTCCGTCGGGTTACGAGAATAAACCTTTTCCAAGTTGTACGGACCAGGGCCTTTTTCCACAGGGTACGCGTTCGACGTCGACGACGGGGAGAAATAAACCTTCGGACGGGCTCCGGAATTCTGAAAATTCGTCTGCGAGCCGTTCTTCAGGAAATGCTTGAAGCTTAATGAATTCTCTTCGGTGCGGACTCTCGAGGTCTCTTGTTCTGCAGCAAATACGAGCAATCAATACGGACTGTTAATTATACATGTCCGTGAGGAGGAAAACGTCGAGAGTCTAACCTGGCTGCGAGTCCGGTTCGTCTCGATTCTTTGAGATGTATTCCTTGGAGGTGTTCCTGCAGCTCCTGCATCCTGTCGTCGTTACCTCTTCCTCCTCGGAGGACGACGACGACGATGATAGAAACGCCGTGACGCCGACGTGACGCTTCGAATTTTTCGACACGGACCGAGACGAATCATCGCTCTTTTTACGACTCGCCATCATCTATGCACCACAAGATCAACCTAACCGACGACGAGGAGCGTATCATTCGCGGTGCAGACAGGACTGCACTTGACATTTGTCACCCGCTGATCGTTCTCGGGTCAGGTTGGTCGTAGATCAGTACATCGCGTGTGCAATTTTTCTTTTATTTTTCGTCACCATTCGTCATCGCTTACACAACCTCGTCTGTACATATAATAACGGGGACCAAACGTAAAACGTGTATATACTCGAAACGTGGTGCGACACTTTTTTTTAACTTGCACTTCTTTCTCTCTGGTAATATCAATTATTAATATTATGATACGCGATGTCTCGTGTGAAATGAATAATGCTGGAGTAATGCACGTATAGATACATACACTATATCGTGCACATATACACATAGTATATGTACGTACATACCTTCCGTCAACGCGTGTTCTTAAAATTAATGTTGTAAGTAATGTAAATAATTAGTGATGGTGTGAAAGGTTGCGTGCAGTGAATGAAAATAATTCCGATGGATTTAACCGCCGCTGCATCGTAAACTACTTGTTATCGTTTTCACCAATGTATTTAACAGGCGCACGGACCGTTTCACGACAAAGGTTACATTCCAAACTGTGTGGTGGAACCTAACGATAAGAACAATTCCCCAAAGTATTTACGGATGTATACAGCGAGCGTGACAGGATGTCACCGAACGAGAAACCTTGTCGCGCGTGCATGGACTTCAAGTCGTGGGCAAAGAGTCAGAAAAAGACTTTCGACTCCGAGAAGGTACAAGAGGAACACAGAGGTTCCCGATAAAAATACAAATACGTTTATTTTTATAATTAGGTACAACGGTCGGGTAAATTCTAGCTCCGTATTTCATTCCCGTTTCGCAGGAATCTGAGAAAAAGGAGAAGAGTGATCCACCTGTAAACAACGATGTCAGACGAGCGGATTGCCCACTGGACAAGGATGAACTGGGCTCAAAAACTTGGGCATTTTTACACACCATGGCTGCTTACTACCCGGAAAAGCCGACCAGAGAACAAAGGTCGGACATGAAAACGTTCTTTCACATATTTTCCAAGTTCTATCCTTGCTACGTGTGCTCGGAGGACTTGCAAGAACAATTGAAGAAGACACCTCCAAAAACTGATTCTCAGAAGGATTTGAGCCAGTGGCTCTGCAGGATACATAACATGGTGAATAAGAAACTTGGGAAACCAGAATTCGATTGTAAACTCGTCGAACAGAGATGGAAAGATGGCTGGCTGGACGGTTCCTGCGACTGATTGATGTAAATTTTGTAAAACCTGCCCCACTCCCCCGTCTGTACAAAACGCGATGTAAGACGGTCGAGCGACAAGCGTAATTATTTCAATCGTTTGGATCACTGATCAGGAACAGTACAAAGTAGCAGACGGCGTTAGATGCGAAACGGTGAACACGGAAGTGGCGGCTGCTCTGTAACGAGGCTCGTAACCGTGGTCCTGTCCTTCACCGCTTATCGGCGCGACCTGGCACGTTCGGATGTGGAATGGAAACCGTTTGTTAGCCATAGACGGTCGGGTGATGTACAAAAATATCATGTGTCCCATGAAAACGATGCACAGCGAACATCCCTTGGCGACGCTTTCTCTTACCCATTCGTCTACTAATAAAGTGATGCACAATACCTGTGAAATAATTATTGTAAAAGACCGAGTATATTTTTATACACATTTCTTTGTACACAATATACGATACCGTCAATGGATGACACAAGAACCATGCGGAGCCCAAAGAGAACAGCGAACCGTAAAAATGTAATTTCGTCGACATTTTCTTCACCGTCTTGAAACAGCGGAGAGAGAAGATGATCCACGCGATCAACTTTAATATTATCAATCCGTATCCGGGCGGTGACTCGTAAACGTATAAAACCAGGCCTGGGTCAAAGGCGTCGGATTGGTAAATTTGCAGTGTGAATTGGCAGAAAGAGATCAGGCTAGTGAAGCACACGAGCCATCGTATTTGTCTGGGCGTCAGAACGTTCTTCGTCACTGTAAAACCCAGCGCGAGCAGCAACATGAGTACGGTGTATAAAATATCTGACAACGCTTCCAACAGCTGGCCCAGCAGGGAAGCGTTCCCTGCTACTGTCCCTCTCAGACCAAGGTTCGTGTAACTGTAAACCTCGAACAGCACTCCTACCAATTGACACAGCGCAGAACCCATGAATATTTTGTAAGACACGTGCAACAGTCTTCTCGCGCGTAATTGCACGGCTACGTAGAAACTCAGTATCACGAGTAGTATGTAACTGCAGGCAATCGCTATCAATTCCGGTAGTATGTCTATAACGAGTTAAAATTATGTTAAACAGTGTGGAATCGTTGGGAAAGATGGGAACAGAGCTGTTGCTACTTGCAGAATTCGTCAGCTGAAAAATGTTCTCTCCAAAAATCGCCCTCCCCGTTCGTCAACGATATCCAGTAGGAGACGTTTAATCCTGTTTTCGAGGAACAATCGGCTAACGCGATGAACCACCATCTCGGACGGGACGATCGGAATTTTCTATAGCTCAAACATCGTACTATCTCGTCTTCTTTGACGCATCCCGATTGTTCGGCCGTTACCAGAGACAACGGTACTATCTGACCGATTCCATCCGAAAGAACAGCTTCCTTCTCGCTACACGTTTTATTCGTGGGGTAAACGCTTGCCCATTGATCGGGCGCGTCGTAATAGAGTAATATTTTCAAATCTTGCTCCTCGCCCCCTAATTCGAAATCGTACCGGAACGTGCCTTGCTCCGTTAAGAAACAGAACCTCGCCAAGAAGGCCCAATTCTAAACAACGATGTGCGGATTGATTAAAATTAATAAATAAAATTGATTTGATGCATCGAAGCGAACGTTTATACGGATTCATTCGTAAAAGAGTGAGCGTGTCGTGACACAGTACTTTACGTGTGACGAGGTGTCCCTGAAGAATTTTACATTCCGTCAATAAGATTTGGGCAAGTGTAAAAAGGAACAGAAACATGTTAAACATGTCGAGACGCGTTATTTTCCTCGACTAATGTTTTACCTAATACACATTCCTGTTTTTCCACACGATAATCAATATTATATTCCCCCGCCCGCCGGAACCTTCAAGTATGTACTACATACACAAGTGTCTATCGATCCGAGTTCTGATGAGTGTATATCGATTGTAAGTTGTACATAGTAGTACACATACTCTCTGATTTCAATGAGAAAAGTCCGACGGACGGAACTTTATTTTCGCGCCTCCTTGCAATGCGCACGCCCAAAAAATTTCACGGCGTGCAAACCCCCATCCCCCACCAGACACTTTCTGCGATGGTTTCTTTCCGAGTAAAACTGCAGCGAGTATAGGCATACAAGCACACGACACACCATCATGGTGAGTATTTGAGTAGGAAAGTTTAAAATTTTCAGTCATTAATTACGTCCGCTCGAGGCATTCTCGCGAGTGTAACCTTAAAGATTCGTTTCTCGTGTGGTGCAGTGTGTTGTACGTAGATTGCAACTTTTTCGTAAATCGTATACCCCTAACTGAGTGAATAACTTTGTCCACGTATATACGTCTACATAATAACGTTCACGCGATGTACGACAATATAATCGAGACGACTCAACTTATATTACTGTTACATTTAAATATGCTCCAACTGCCGTCAGAGGAACAACGCGTTCCAGATCAATTAGCTATACTTAACCTTAATCAAGAAATTTCTATGACGCAGTTCCACTCTTTCCGTTGGCTTAAAAACAAAATCTATCTATCTAAATTCTACTGCCGATATTTTAAATTTACTTCTTTTAAGCTAGCATTTTCCGGTTCCACCGAGTTGTGTGAAAATGAAAATCTGGATCAAATGAGAGGAAAGCTCTTCTCCCTTTGATCGTAGCCTGTCAAACGTAGTCGGCGTCATCATGCGTGAGACCAATGAGTGTTGATTCAAATTTATTTTACAGCCGCCTAAAAAGGACACAAAGGGTTCATCAAAGCAGCCACAGAAAACACAAAAGAAAAAAGAGGGAGGATCTGGTGGCAAGGCCAAAAAGAAGGTTTATATGAATCTATTTTATCTATAATCGATCGTTCAATAAATCTTTAATAACGATCACATTAGTCTTGACAAATGCTGGAAACGAAATGGCTGATTCAATGAGACTCCTCGTAAGCTTGATCTCAATAAAAGGATATGAATATTGTTCTGTTCCTTTTTAACTGTAGAAGTGGTCCAAAGGGAAGGTACGCGACAAGTTAAACAATCAAGTACTCTTCGACAAGGGTACATACGACAAATTGCTGAAGGAAGTACCTCAGTACAAATTGATCACGCCATCGATCGTCAGTGAGAGGCTAAAGATCCGCGGATCCCTCGCTAGGAGAGCACTGATCGAGTTGCAGCAGAAGGGACTCATCAAGCAAGTTGTGCAACATCATGCACAGTTGATCTACACGCGGACCACCAAGGGTGACGATCCAGCCGCGTGATCCATTTCTTCACGAAGACTATGTATATACAAATCCTGTGTGTTTAAACATGCCTAAAAAAATAAATTCATTAATCTCTTTCTACTATCATGGCTGATGCTAAATGTAAATGATTGTTTGTTACGCATAGAGCGAAAATGTTTGGTTTGTACAAATGCTGGATAATCGTACGATTCTCATTTATCGCGATGTTACTCTGTCAATCCATTCGCTTCCTTGGAGCTCGGACAGAACGGACGTGTTTGCTTGAACAAGGAAGCGAACGGATTGACAGAGTAACATCACGATAAATTGAAAATCGCGGGTAAGCGACGATCGCAGCAGTCGTACCAACTGCGAGGTTGATACCTAAGACTAGGGACATGGATGCCTAGGGCTAGGGACTTGTGGACGAAGAGCCCACACGAAAATCATTCGAGGTATGTGTATGTACCTTTAGAAAAACGGTGACGTCCCGACTGATCCCGACTTCATCTGTATTATATACTAATCTGACAGTGGCACTGGCACTGATTATCTGGAGTCATTATTAGTTGTTATTAGGGCTCGAGCTAAAGCTGAAACTCTACAGAGAACAATTCTCCTTGCCCTGATATTGCGACATCTGTTCTAATCTTTAAGACAGAAATCGTCGAATTATTTCGTAAGTCGATCTCGTCCGACGGCGAATTTTTCCTATAAATAATTCCTTCATTTGCAGAGTTTAGTATTATCCGCTGGACCTTTGATCCGCGAGCAGCGTTAAAATAGCTTTAATCTGCAAGTACGCGAACAAGATCCATCATCTAATCATCTCCAGAATTTCGTAAATTTACAGTTACACCCGTGTTTCTCTGATACAAAAGCGTAGTCTACGATTGTTTAAGCGAAGACACAGTCAGTAACTGAATAATGACAGTACTACTACGGTCAGTTTTGTTCAAACTACAACGTGTTGTAATGGTTTCTGCAATCATACTCAACAGTCATGTGGCTGCACTTTTATTATACGCAGATTTGTAATAAAGTCAACGATCGTTGGTGGGGTCGTTTATTACACCTACCAAGAGGGATTATGGTCAAAGTCTGAGGAAACAGCTAAACTGTATCGAAAATTATATTCTACATTGGCCCCATATGTCAAAGACAACATCCCAGAAGAAATAACCAAAGAGGTATTTCTTATGATGATAAAAGAATTCTCTGCTCTATTTAATACACTACTACAGTTCACACTGTATAATTCTTTGTATGGATTCAAAACAGGTTTCACAGTTGCCAAGTGTATCAGATGTTTCTTCCTTAGCGAAAACCTCTTGGAATAATGGCGTCATAGCGACCATGGGATTTCTGGCTGATTTACCAACTCACACTTCTAATGGAGCTAGCAGTTTGTATAAAACTGTAGAAAAATACATGAAAGATCTGAACGTGTAAGGGGAATTTGTAAATGAACAGTCGTGTAAATAGTATATATTGTACAAACTATAAAGCTGGAGAAAAACACTTTTCTGGCCCAGTCCTAGGCCTGACGCACGGTGTCATTTAACCCTTTCGCGACGGCGCACCTGTATTAAAGTAAATTTTGCTACTTCTCGCCTAAGTAAAAGTAAGTAAGTAAGTAAGACAAGTGGTGACGTATATAAGCGGCGTCAGCCGCTGTGATGCACTAGGTGACTGCCGTATATACACGGTATCCGTCGCGAAAGGGTTAATGGACGCTCGACTAGGCATCAATGGATTAATAATTTCGCAATGTGAAAGACAGAGATACTTTGAGGCATCCCGGAACTTCCGAGAATCCGATACCGAGAAAAAGTCTTGGAAGCCAAAAGCCGACCCGACTCGACATTTTCGGGCACCTATTTAAAAATGAATCAGAACAAAAGGTATAGGCAAAATTTGTGATTATTTAATTCTGTCGTTATAGTCGTTAAAACAGTCGTCGAACGTGTGAATAACGAACGATGGCAATCAACAATAGCAGGTACTACGAGTTTCGCTGTTCCTGAAAATATTACATTTTTTTCAAATTACACTATACACATTGCTGCTGCGCTTGCAAGACCAGGTACTTGAAATTTGTAATAGTTTTAATCGTTTGCGCGCGTTCTCGATAATCTTGATGGGAATTCGTTTTGGAATTCTCCTTTGGCTCGAGTCAAGATCTATCACGGACGTGTGTAGAAGCCAAGATTAAGCAGCCACGAGACGGTCCAGTGCCTTACTGACCTCGGTGAATACCGAGTCAACGGTGCCTTCGGCATTGATCTAAACGAAATCATTGCCAATTAGTAAGTCGATCGTTGTAATCGCACATACGAGTTTATTTGGTGAAAATAATTATATTTCTTTCTCTATCATCGATGAGATTCACTCGTTCGTAATACTTGATAAACTGCGGATCAGTGTACAAAACATTTAGAGCAAAGTACTCGTAAAGAATTTATAGTTCAGGCACGCTTTATCGTTTTCATTATTCAGTCAAGGTTGTTCTCGCTACGAGTCGAACGATACCGGCACACGTTCGAAACGATTTTGCGTAATTGCGTATAAATCAGTGGAATCTCAGATATCAAGATAAAATCGAACTGTTCGGAAGAATAATGTGGGACACGGCACTCGTACGTTCAATCGTCCAATCATATACTTACTGTAACTACTTTGTCCTTGTAATGCTGTACGATCTGATCGTTCTTCACGTTAAATATTTCGATCCTCTTCTTGATAGTTTCTTCATTATCGTCAGCTCTTTGAGTAATGGCCGTGGCCGCGCGTCCCAACAGCCTCGACTTCAACGTTTCGTTCGAGACGTCGAAGAAAAGAATCAAATCAACAGGACATACCTAACAATAGAAACGAAACAATGTTCATGGTCCATCCAGACGTCTATAATCTATTTTGTCATTAATTGAAACGTGTATTACAGATTAATGCTTACATTTTTCTCAAAGAGGAGACCTTGCTCCAATTCACGTGGGTATCCGTCAATGAGGAATCCAGTTTGTGTGGCGTTCTCCTTCTTAGCCTTCTCCATTCGTTCTCTTATCAAGTCCAACACAACATCCTGGTGGCCGGTGAAAAAATTTATATTTATTTACTATTTAATCGCTGTTTTCGCATTAGAAATGTGTTTCACGCAGACCGCGGATTTTTATGCAAGTTCAACTTTGTCGGACGCAGGATCGAAGAATGGAATTTACATGTACGAGAATGACGAAGGAATTTTATCATTTAGGTGAGGTGGGTAAACGAGACTGGGAGGCGTATGTACACGAGTTCAAACATCTCATTTTAGGCTAACACTAGGTCTAATCAGGTTACATCGAATCAGACGTGTGAAAGAGTTCGACCGGTTCGACAGCGAGGAGCGTGAATTCAAGAACGATGGTAATCTCAAACTTTTCTTAGCCATGGGGTCGCTACACAAATAAATTATTGTCGTTCCAATCGTTATTATTGTATCTTTACACATCGAGCGGAACAGTTCAGTCGTCTATTCTAAAAGCACAAGTATTCGCGGTCTATTTGTACAGTTAAAGATATAGCAGTTTACCGTTGGCACAAACAGACCCTTCGACATCAGTTCTTGAAGAGAGGCACCCCTGCTACTGCCGCTGGCAACCTCCTCCCGCAGCAAATCACCGCTACTTATGTGAAAAAATCCATATTTATCGATGATTTTCTCGCACTGCGTCCCCTTGCCGCATCCTGGCCCGCCTATTATCCAAATCGTCTTCATCTCCCCCAGATCCCGGTTCAAGGGCTCCCGGTGCGATCAAGCTTTTGAAATCTACCGCGCGGTCGACCTCTGCTACTGCCTCCTTCCCCTAGCAAGGACGCATCTTTTGTGCAACAATAATTCAACTCTGCCAAATTGCGAACATCGTAACGATAAGATTTCTCTATTTTCAATTTTCTTGGCCGTTTGGCGTCGTGACCCGAATGAATTTGCGCACAGCCCATGCAGTGTGACAAGCCGTGACAAGTGACGTTGGAAACACGCGAAGAAAGGTCCGTATTTCTTTTTTCTCGTACCTGCTCGCCGATAATAAAGAAGAACACGATCGCGAAGAACGAACGAACGAACGAAGGAAAGAATAATTATGAGAAGGACGTGTTTGGCAACTTTTTAACAGCTATTTTATGTCACAGAGGAGAAATTTATTGCCAATCGAGGTCGTTCTGGTTATACGATACAAAAGTTATACGCGTCCCAAGTAAAGTATAATCAGCTCCTGGCTCGCTATACTTTTCTTGCAGATTATCCTTAACACGACACCTCATCGTATCCATCTCCTTGTATACGTTGTATCACACGGTTGTACGTATACTGTGGTGCACAGCTCTCTCTCTCTCTCTGTTGATCCTTTCGCCAACAGGATCCTTTCCTCCCTATGTGTACGAGCTTTCACGAAGGAACGATACACTGTCTACCGTCTACGACGAATTTTCAACGTCTAACACAGATAATTGAATTAATTTCTAGCATTTCAGCAAACAGCAGTTCATCGTTTTAATCTGGTCACGGTATCATACAACTATGTGTATACATAAACGGTAGATAATTCTTATCGATGCACCCTACACATTTTGATACACAACATTGATACGACCAAAGTATGCGATACAAGTGGACGAGAGTACGTGCGTACGTACAACCACGTAAAATCGAAGGAATTGCGAAAATTAATAAGAGAGCCGTTTTTGTAAGGTGGTTCTCACCCTTACCTCAAAGGTCGTAAGACCAAGGCTGCCTTGCTCGGCGAACGTTCGATCTCGCTGCACTACACTCGTGGAACGAAAAATACCGTACCAGTGCAGTACAGGGTACACACTGCTTCTTCGAATCGTTACAAGCGCGGAAATACCAGACACTGGCGTGCTGCCGCCTCGTCGGTCGAGCCGTATGCCGCGACCGCGAGTAATTTCGGCATTTAGCCTTCTGGCCAGAGGAGTGAGCGGCTATACAACACGAAGGGGCGCGGTAGCGGTCCGAAGGTAAGTTTGATTCGATACACCGCACGTAAGTATACATGGTATACGCGGTTCTGCAAAGTCTTCTACTACAGTCGCAACGTTTAAAAATAAATATACGGCAAACATCGAATCGTAGGTTCTATTCGTGTAACCAGGTCACGGGAATTTTACCACCCCCTCGTGTGACAACTGCTCCTCGTGAGCGTGAAAAATTATCGCCGTGACGATGGGAAGGAACGTGACCGTGCTAACGAGCGATCAAAGAGTAATTACACTGGTACTACACTTCTAGCCACACTGTTTCACAGAGAGAGCCTTGTGCAGAAAGAAAAATGGTTATTCGAAAATTAATTACATTTAAAGTTACGTCGGAGCGCTATCGATGAAATATCGAGGACGTGCCGCGGAAACTATCGGTGGCGATATATATATGTATATATATATATATACAGACACACACCAAGGGCTGAACGGATACTTTCTCCGGAGCCTTTCTGGCACCCTGTATCAGGTCCGAATAAAACGGACAAATACATAAATAAATAAATAAAGAAATCGGTGGCATCAGCGATTACGTGCGGCTACTGGTAATTTTGTATTTCATATTCTGATTGGCCAATCTGGTTTAAGAGTTTACTTTCGTCGAGGGTGGACGAATCTCTGAGCTTTTTGCGCCGACGAGCTCGACTGCTTCGCTCGCTCAATGGTGCTATGCACAGAGAGAAAAATTGTTCTCTCTGCTATGCACAACTTAAATCTCGTAACATAACGCGCATGTCCACGGGAAACGTAAGTGGGGAGAAAGAGCAGTGGGAAGCGTAGAAATCCCTCGATCTGGTAACGTCGCTCGCAACAGGAGGTTATCCTACTCGATCGTACTCGTAACAAAGTAACAACCGTAACCGTTGTAACTGCCCTCGAGGAGTGGTTCCAGTAGTGAGTGAAACTTTGAAAAAAGCCGGAAAGATTATAAAACAATCAGAAAACATGGTAAGCATATAAAAAGCCTGTGTGCTTAGACGTAAGAATTAACGCGAGGTCCGTCAGGGATCACAAATTTTTGTCATCGATCGTCGTAAACATTTTTGTCACAAGTAACAGTGTCGGGTAGCAGGAATTTTATAAAACGAATATGCTACATGTATTTCGCTCAAAGATTCGTATCAATCACGATTCTAGTCAGAAAACAGAACGAGAACGAACGTCACGTTATTTTACGACAAGTCGATCTAACCTTATAAGGAAATTAATAATTTCGACCGACTCCCACAACGTGCGCGTGTAGAAACTAGTATACCGGGGAAAAAAAACACATACAGTACAGCACGTCGAAGACAAACGAACCGAGCTGATTCGAGAAGTCTTTTTATTCGTGCGCAACGAATATTTCGTATCGAGTAACGAGGACGAAATCGATTCATTCGTCTCGTAAGAATTCGCAAAACTGGACGGGAAGTCGCAGCCATATCATTAAGAAAAGTCACACGTAAATTTGGAGATTTAGAAAATGGGCAGATACGCGAGAGTAAATGCAAACAATAATAACACGAAAATTCTGATTCTAACGTACTACGGACGCGTCTAGTTCGACGATGATCACATCCGTCCCCTTTTCAGCAGCCACAGATAATTTTACTGAAGGAAGGCACCGACGCGTCTCAAGGGAAACAGCAACTAATATCGAACATAAACGCTTGTCAAGTAGTAATGGACGCCGTGAGGACCACTTTAGGTCCTCGGGGCATGGACAAACTGATCGTCGATCAAAACGGGAAAGCTACAATCTCAAACGACGGAGCGACTATTTTAAAACTGTTGGACGTCGTACATCCGGCGGCGAAAACCTTGGTAGACATCGCAAAATCCCAAGACGCAGAAGTAAGTGTGAACCATGACCACTCTTTCAGAAGTGCGTAGTAAGAATTCGTAGCGTATCCAGAACTCGTCGTCGACTCTGTGAACGCGAACGAACGAGTGACGTGACAAGACGTAACATCACTAGCTGCTGTACAGAGAACAACAGATCGAGAACACGTGTAGACCGGTAGTATCTCGAAGTGATTCAATTACCTCGACAGTGTTCGAACATTTCATCGGAACGTAATTCTTTGAACACGGTTTTGCATCTTCGTTTCGAACTTTAAAACGGTATTCTGACCGTGGACGCCGGTTCGGTAAACAACGTTCAGACAATCTCTTTAAAAGTCATTGATCAAATCGTTTCTCGCGACACCGTACTCTCGTGCACAGTGACACTGAACCGTTGGTTTCGTTGCAGGTAGGCGACGGTACCACGAGCGTGGTACTGCTGGCAGGAGAATTTTTGAAACAAATGAAATCGTTCATCGAAGAAGGTGTGCATCCACGTATCATGATCAAGGCTCTTCGGCTCGCACTTCAAGTAGCAGTGGACAAAATAAACGCAGTGAGCGTGAAGATAGACAAATCTGATCAAACGAAAGTGATGGAACTGTTGGAAGAATGCGCCGCTACATCGATGAGCTCGAAATTGATTCACCAACAGAAAGAGTTCTTCAGTCGCATGGTCGTAAAGGCCGTGATGATGCTGGACGAAATGTTACCTCTGAACATGATCGGTATCAAAAAGGTGTCCGGCGGAGCGTTAGAGGACTCCGAACTGGTGAAAGGCGTAGCTTTCAAGAAGACGTTCTCTTACGCCGGATTCGAGATGCAACCGAAAAAGTACCAAGACTGCAAAATCGCACTGTTGAACATAGAATTGGAACTGAAAGCAGAACGCGACAACGCCGAGATCCGCGTGGACAACGTGACGGAGTATCAAAAGATAGTGGACGCCGAGTGGCAAATTCTATACGACAAACTGGACAAAATTCACAAGAGCGGAGCGCAAGTGGTACTGTCGAAACTGCCGATCGGTGACGTGGCGACCCAGTACTTCGCGGATCGGGACACGTTCTGCGCAGGCAGGGTCCCCGAAGAAGACTTGAGGAGAACGATGAAGGCTTGCGGTGGGAGCATTCTGACCACCGTACACGGCATCAAAGATTCGGACCTCGGTAGATGCGAAGTGTTCGAAGAACGACAAATCGGCGGCGAGAGGTAGGTGAATCGTACAACGTACACGCGTAACGAGAAACGAGTCGGTCGCCTCGATCGTACGCGTAAAAAACGAAACGCGAAACTCGGACGAGATCGTAAGAATCGAACTACGAGACTCGCGAGTACGAGAAGCGATCGTCGTCGAGAAGCCGCCGTCGCCGTGGCTGTCGCGCAGCAGCAGCAGCAGAAGTACACGGCCTCTGGTTCTCTGGTGAACATTTTCACGGTACAAAGTCGGTCGGATTGTTCGCAGATTCAACTTCTTCTACGAAGGATCGCGCACGAAAACGTGCACGTTCATACTGCGCGGAGGAGCCGAGCAATTCTTGGAAGAGACCGAGAGGTCGTTGCACGACGCGATCATGGTGGTGAGGCGTTTGTTCAAAACGAACGCGTACGTGGCCGGTGGCGGAGCCATCGAGATGGAGTTGTCGAAGACGTTGCGAGACTACTCTCGCGTGATAGCAGGGAAGGAGCAGCTGTTAATCGGAGCAATAGCTCGCGCGCTCGAAGTGATACCAAGGTAGGTAGAGGAGCACGATCTCGCGTTCGAAGAACTCTCGGGCTCGGAAGCCGAGCCGAGAGGCGCAGAACGCGCAGGGACGCACGTTTCTCCGACGGAGGATCGAAAAGTAACGGTGAGTCGCTCGCGCACTGCTCCTGGTTCTCCTCGTTGATTGCAGGCAATTGTGCGACAACGCCGGTTTCGACGCGACGAACATTCTGAACAAACTGCGACAGAAACAGCACAAAGGCATGCACACGTACGGCGTGGACATCAACACGGAGGACATCGACGACAACATGTCGGCTTACGTATGGGAGCCCGCCGTCGTGAAGATCAACGCTCTGACAGCGGCGATCGAAGCGGCGTGCCTGATCCTGTCGGTGGACGAGACCATAAAGAATCCGAAGAGCAGCCAGGACAAAGAAGGACCGCCACAAACGGGCCGCGGCATGGGACGACCGATGTAACGACAGCGCAGAAGAAACGCTGTAATCGGCTGGAACGCGTCGTAAAAGATCACGCAGGATCGTGTAACGCCACGATCCGTTCATACAATTACGAATGATCGAATTAAACGATTTTTTTGCACACTCGTCTCGTACTACATCCCCGAACACGCGACTACGAAACCGACGTTCCCTTTCAATCCGTTCGATCCATCCACTCGAATCATCTCGGAATCGCACCAGGTTCACAGGGAGCATCTCCGCGCGCTGGACGCGCGTTCGTTCGTCGTTGGTCGTTCGTCTGGTGGTCGCGGAATCGTACGAGGGTAGAAACGGACAAAGGAACAGAAACGGGAAGAAGACTCGATCTCGTCGCGACGACTCGATCGCGCCGCTCCCGACGCCGAACGGGACTCGTTCGGAGTCGAACGACGTCGCTCGCGTCGATCGTACGAAAAGTGTCGATCGTCGAGGAAACGTTCGGACGCAACTGGAAAAGGCCGCCGGATCGTACACCGACGGAGTCCTCCGTATCGAAGCAGAACGACAGGCGATCGATCGACGGATCGATCGCTCGGTCAACGCGCATTCGAATCTCGCGCGTCGCAACGTTTCACGCAACCCACAGAGAGTGGACGCGTACAGCCAGTAACTACGCGGAGCGGTTCCCGTCGGCTCGCCGCGCTCCGCCTGACCGACAGTGCAGCGCGCAAGACCGCCTCGCACCGTCGGTAAGGCAGAGCGCGGCGAGCCGGCAGGAACCGCCAGAGACGTACGTTCGTGGGGGTCGCGCTCAAGGTTCGAACGAGTCCCACACAAAGTTCAACGATACGCGTACAGAATCAACGTTAGAACACTCGAGATGACAGGAAAGAAGTTCGGTCTTTGCATTCGCGACTCCTCGAGGGTGAACGAAAACTACGACCGTTACGTGAAGCGTAGCGTCGATCTTTCGAACTCCGAGGTGGCTCCTAGTCGGCTCGTCGTCGTCCAATCCGGGACAGGTTCCGACTCCCTATGCGTACAGGGAAATCAGCCCGAAGGTCGTCGAGCTAGCGGGGTGCCATACGTTCTGGCGCCAGAAAGGCAGAGACGCGCCAGGGTAAGGAACGACCGACGGGCGAGTCGCGTCGGGTGCACCGTTCGGTCGAGGGACGAAGGACGCGATCTCTGCCTGGACGGGGGTACGGTTGGGAGGGTGAGGGAAGGCGTAGGAGGGGAAGAGCAGTGGGGCCGGAGAAAGGGAGGAAAAAGAGGGGAAGCGAGCCGCGAGGAAAAACTATGCGCAGTTTGGTGGAAATTTAGCGACGGGGACGTCGGGCGGAGGGTGCGGGGATGGAGGGGTGGGGTACGGGGCGTTCTTGGTGAGTAATCCGTCGTCTCTGGTTGGAAAGGACGCGGGGAGAATGCGCGACGGAAGTTGGGACGGTACGGGGAGTGCGCGGTCGGCGGACGTTGGGACGCGGAGCGCGAGGACGGAGAGTGGGCATACCGGCACGTTGGCGTGCCGGCCGTGTGCTGGAGACGTGTGGGGAAAGGGTGGGAGGAGAAGGGGGAGGGGAAGAGGTTGGTGACGGGTGGGATGAAAGAAGAGAAAGAAGGAAAAGAAGAGGGTGGGAAAAAGAAAGGAGAGAGGAAAGAAAGAAGGGAAAAAAAGAAGGGAAAAAAAGAGGGGAAAAGGGGGGAAGAAGAGGGAAAAAAAGAAGGGAAAAAAGAAGAAAGAAAAGAAGAAAAAAAAAGAAGAAGAAAAGGTAGGAAAAAAAAGAGGGAAAAAAAGAAGAGAAAAGAAAAGAAGGGAAAAGAAAGGAGGAAAAGAGAAGAGAGGGAAAGGAGGGGGAGTGGGAGTGGGAGTGGTAGTGGGTGTGGTGGCGTGAGAGGGTGTGGGGGATGGAGTGAGATGGCGTGGGAGCGTGTGAGAGGACGTGGGAGTGTGTGAGAGGACGTGGGAGCGTGTGAGAGGACGTGGGGGAGTGTGAGAGGATGTGGGAGAGTGTGAGAGGAGGTGGGAGAGTGTGACAGGGTGTGGGGGATGGTGTGGGAGGGCGTGGGAGCGTGAGAGAGGGCCTGGGAGCGTGTGAAGAGGGTGTGGGAGAGTGTGACGTGGCGTGGGAGAGTGGGACGTGGTGTGGCAGTGCGCGACCTGGCGTGGGAGTGTGTGAAAG